TTTACCACGTCCTTCCTTGGAGAGTCGTCTTTTGGCAGCGAATCTTTGCCTTTGGATTTCAAACCCGAAGAGGTTTTCCCGACTTTGGTTTTTCTGCGTACGACGCGCGTTTACTTTTTGAGCACTCAAGGTTGCCTTCTGCGTGAAAGTGTTGACGACATGCTGGACGCCATGGGGTTGTTGCACACACAACTTCGATGTCAACATACCCATGGGAACCTAAATGTACGACCAGGTACCTTTTGTAATTTAGTCGAGCTGCTGATTCAAGATCAAAACGAATGTTTAGCAGATCAGGAGTCGGAGGGTTTTTATATGCGGGGAATTCCTTAATTACCTTCCCAAACGCATCTTCTACTGCCCCATACAATGAAGGCAGGGCAGCAAATGGTACTTGCTAACAGCGTATCCAGAAGAAAGTGTGTCTAGCGACCTCTCGCCATTCCCAGAGTTCTTGCTCTGTCATCCAAGGTCAAAAAGAAACTGAGTAGAACTTTTTGTCCAACTCGATTTCCGTGCGGCCTACTTCCAACATCCATGCTGCTATATCCTTGGCAGGTGCAACGTAGGTAAGTTCTTACCTTCGTTATGGAACAATCCTCTTTTCGGTGGGACTGCGAAATGCCCTGCGGATGCCCAGCCATTTTCGTACATTCTAAGCGATTTTTAACGCCGACCGGGAGGGATGTTGAATCGTCTCCAAAAATGATTGTGACTGCATGTTCTCGCAGCCATTCTGCCTGGATCTTATTCATTTCAGGGTTGACTATGACCCGTATATAATCATCCCTGACCTATACTATGTTTGGAGCAAGCTTTTTTGGAAGAATCCCGTCTGTGAAACACTGCGAGAGGATTCCCCTAATCCGTTGTATCTCTTCCTCCGACAGGGTGGCACCCTTTTCGGCCGGTTCCTTCGTTACCGACTCCATCCTTAAATATAGCAAACGAAATCAAGGCATTATCTACACTACCAGGCTTCGAATAACATAGGATAGTCTCTATTCCCCAATACCCCACCCTTGGTTTGTGGAGAGGAGGCTATACCTGGCCCTGTGTGGTGATGGCTTTTGCCTTTCCATAAGACTCTGTCGCTCAATTCTCCTGGCGCATTTAGGTGTTGCCCAGGCTCTCCACCTCAAGTCGCGGTTGCATGTCGGCTCTTATTTTCCACGAGTAAAATTTCGGATTTGACCATGGAGCCCGTTCGTCAGGGTGGGAGTTGTACAGGTCTCTGGTATTCCATAGGGGACACTCACCGTAGCGAACTAGGGTGTGCACAGACCTCCTTCGGGTTCCGTCCTCAAAATTACCGAAGACGAAACCTCCAGAGGTTCCGCCACGCTACGTCAATTTACCAAGTACGAGGAGCTTCTCTATCGTCCCCGGTAGCAAGACGCGTTGTTTAGCGCAACGATTCATTCCGCATTCCCTGACCCCCCATCATCGCATTGAAAGCTGATTCTAGTGCTCGGTGGTTGGGACAGAGTGGCCATACTCCCCAAATCCCTTTTCTGCTGCTATGGTCGCTACTTCTCAGGCCGCCATGCCTGACTCCACCTTGAAGTCTTCTTGGTGCGGTGCTACCCCAAATGGGCCCTTCCAGATGCAGCGCCTAACAAGGTGATGAAGATAGCGTCCACCATAGCCAGGTAAGTACCTTGCCACTTTCCTCCTTCACCACCTTCTTCCTCCTCCTCCTACATGTGAGGGTCTACTATAGCCAATGTGGGAGCTCCTGGCCTTCTTCCTCCTCCTAGCGCTGCTTTACTCCAGCGCTCGTTTTCCAGCAGCTCTCTATAACTAGCGCCCGCTAGCATGACACCCTAACTTGCATACCGCAAATGATGAGGAACACTTTGCTCCTCCTGCAGATATAGCGGCCTACCCGCCTCTTGGGTGGTGAATTCCACATCGTGCTGTGACGCCCAACCTCACGCCCAGCGCGACTTCCTAATCGGAGTGGGATGTGGGCCTGGAAGTGCGAAAAGGGGTGTGCCAAGGATTTTTGGGGAAAGTGGGGGAGTCTTAGGGGTAGGAATGCAAATTGAAAGTCATCGAGTTTTTAGACGAGATGGCTGTCATTTGTCAGGGAATTTCTAGTCGTGCCACGTGGCGACCGGTTTCGGTCGGGACAATTTCGCCGCCCGCCACGCCGTCGTCGCGGGCTTTGACGCGACGCACGGGGCCACTGCAGGGCAATATAATTCCAGGACACCACTAGAAGTTGATGATACGGAAGGACGAGTTCGGAGGAACGAAGTAGAAATACGGACGAACCCGGGGAGATAAAATACTGCGAACGGGGCTCGTTACGAATATCCGGGCAGCCGGGTTCATTCAGTAGCGCGTGCCTAAGTTCTTCCGCGCTTACTCGATCGTGTTCGGATTGACACGGGAATTCGGAATATGGCCGCAAAGGTCCCCACTTGGTTAGGTTGCTACACAAGTCAAGCTCAGTCGATCCTTCGTCAGTCCAGTCGTCTTTCATCTTGTCATTGGGCGCCAGTGATTCCTGGGTTGACACGTGTAAGCAGTTCAGGCTGGCTGTACTTGCGCGTGTGAACACAGAATTCCGCCTGGCGTGTCCATCGACCGGTCGGCTTGAGTTCAACACAGTTCAATCCCCAGGGCCTTTGCGTGTCATCGCGCGTCCGAGCGCGGCTTAATTAATCACGAGGGTGACACGTGTCCGGTACAGGAAAAATCGCAAGGCCTATGGTTATGTGACTGCCTATATGCCGATAAGACATACATCCATTCATGCGAACGAAAAAGATCAAATGCATGTAACTTTCATCAAAGGAAAACAAGACAAGTTTTTACCCATATATGCACATCTAAGGGTGAGAGATCCACGCATTCATTCAAAAGTTCGAACATCCATACATCCATCATATATTCATCCGAAGGTGTGAAAAGTCGGAGATACGCACTCAATCGATCAAGGAAGGCCGAAGCCAAAACAAGGAGATATAGGCGACGAAAATCAGGGGCATATCGCCCGGAATCAAAATTCATATACACAAATGAGGAAAGGAAAGAAATAACGAAGCCACAATTTCAACCATCAACTCTCTCAGCACTCTCTCTCTCTCTCCGATGTCCGTCGTCCCGCACCAACCCATGAAGTTGTCACCCCGCTTAGTCCTCCCGCACCCGTCGGATTCGCCTGTGCCCACAATCCGTCGTGGCCCACGTCAATCCAGCGCGTTCGGCACCAGCCCCTCGGATCGCCCAACTCCTACTCTACTCACCTCTTACTTCCCTCGAGTGTCGACCCTTCCTGATCGCGCACCCCGAACTTCCAACAACGGGTTAATAAAGCTGACTAATCGCACAGCCGAAATTTATAGTGTGCATGCATGCGCGAAGAACACGGAATTACCAGGACATAGAGTAAGGATTAGAGAGGGAGCGCCTGCGTTCTGCATGATCGAGCCGCGGCGTGCGGGACGTAACCCTTCTCCACGCATCGATCCGAGCATGCAAGCCGCGGCCTTCGAAAATTTCAGCAAAAGAAAGAGAGGGAGGGCGGTAGAGACGAAGTGCAAAAAGAAAGATACAGTTACAATGCCACCCGCCCAAAATTACAGTTACACACACGATTAAGGGTGCCCACTAATCAGAATACCGTTGCGGCCGCATGAAGAAGCGCGTGGACAAAAGGCGTCGTGCGGCAGGAAAAATCCTAATTACCGAATTCCTAAATTCCTGTCTAATGCGAAAAGCAAAAAGCACAAAGTTCAGAAGAAAAAGTCCGAAATTCCAAGAGCCATTAAGGGCTCGACAAAATTCGAAAAAGATTCAAAAGGAAATTCAAAAAGAACGAAACAATTTTCCGCGCGATGTCCGCGCCCAAAAGATCGAAACCAAAACAAAAGAAACGATGTCAATATTTATTTATCGCGCACGCGGTGGCGCGCCGGACATCCATCCGACCAATGATTCAACCGGCTGTCCTAGGACACACCCAGCCCCGAAGAAGCGACAAAAAGGACGAAGAAGCAAGGGTACTGATGCAATTTTCCACCGATCCCGATTTCCCGTGATTGGCCCAATCTTCCCAGCTTAGGACCCCTCGTTGCAACCGCGCAGAAACTCGCGTGTTACAGAAAGTGGTTCGTCACATATATGACGCCCAGGGGTTTCCAATATTAGCAAGCTCCTGCTTGCTTGTTGACACGTGTCGATTTCTCTAATCGATCGACACGCGGAGCACTTCACTTTATGCCACTTACCGTTCGATTGCCTGTGGACGTCATCCATCGTGGCAACACTGCTCTTCTACTAGTTCCTCAGATTGGGCTCTCGGCAATCCAAGGACGGGATCTTTTTCGTGCCATCGCCGCAACACGCGTCCATTACTTGCTGCATCAGTAATTAACCGGGAGGGGGAAGGAAAGTCGGTACATGGCGGCATGGCGGGGTGGAGGGCTTAGGGGTAGCGGGGGCAGGAACCTTTCCATCCCGGCTGCAGATTCTGGAAGCGCTTGGTAGCGAACAATGCGGTGGACGCGAGGGAAACGGTTGCCAGTGCGAGGGAGGGATGTGAGGTAATCAGGATAGAGGGTGGTGAGGGTTTGGAAAAGTGCCGCGCGGAAACGATCGCGATCTTCGCAGGCGGGGATGGTCCCCGTTACTATGCAATAAACCTCGATCATATTGTGTTCTCGCCATGCAGCACTAAGGAGCAAAACATGAGGCAAAAGGTTGGGACGGCGCACAGAATGGAGGGGTGGGGGTGCACTACTATAGCGAAGCGAGCAGCATAAAAGTGGCGGAAGGCGTCGCGGGGGAACGGATTACAGGGGAACGTGACGGGGGCGGTGAGTTGGTGGAGGGTGAGGTATTTAAGGGGACGACGAGAGAGCGATCGGGGACAAAGACCGATCACCCGTATCGGTACGTAAGCGAACTGGGGGACGGGTTGGGGAGGAGGGGGATCGGCTTCGCCGCCATGCCGATGGGGTCGGAGTCGTGGCCGCGAGGTCGCCATCCTCGGGTCGGGGCGGCTCCGGATCTCAGTTCGGGTCGTCGCAGATCTGCAGACTCGCCGCGCTTGCGAGCTCTAACTCCTTCTTCCCGGTCGCGATCTCTTCTCTTTTACGGGTCGCCTCGGGATCCTCTTCCTCTGTACTTGTGCGCAGCGCTTCTTCTGGCACGGCTTCCCACTCTGATCCAGCAGATTCTTCTTCGTTCTCCTCTTCTCCTTCGTCGTCTTCTTCTTCCTCTTCGCTCTGCTCCCCCTCGCTATGCTCGCTATAACTTCCTTCTTCGGGGGTTTCGTCCTCTTCCCCAAGTACTTCGTTGCTTTCCCCACCTCCTTCCCGTTCGTCTTCTCCTTCGTCCCTCTCAGTGCTTTCTTCCTCCTCTTCCTCCTCTCGAATGGCGGCAAGTTGCTCTGCCGTTGGATGCCCGAAGAAGGCACGTTCGCGAACCGTCCGGGGATCCAAATACTGCTGCTGCGACGGCGGGATGCGCTCGGCGGCTCCCTCCACCTAAGCCGACCACTGGAGATAAGGTGTCAAGGTGCGAGAAAGAACATAGGGAACTGGATGCTCGTCGTCTTGTGAGATAATGTCAAGAGGGAGGTCGTCCGCCAGCTGTGCTACCGGAATCGTGAGCTCTTGCGTGATGAGTTCCTAATGGCCGGGCTGTACTGTACCGAATAAGAACGCGAGGAGCTCTCCCTCCACGTTGGTGCGCCAGGCCTGGATAAGCAGCAACTCCAGTCGCTCTATGCAAGGCGGGTGTGCTTCGCCCTCGGTCCACGTCAGCCGTACATCGACCAAGCACAGGGAAAGCTCGATAAAGTCTCCGTGCCACAGTTCCCAGTATGGGGGATGAATGTCGGGGACAGCAAGGGTCGTTAGACAGTAGGAAAGGCGAGGATGGATGTCGGACTGCCAGAAGGTGGGGAAGGTGGAGGGGAGATCAAAAACGGAGATCGGAGAGAGACTCATTGGGGGCGAGGAAAGGGAACAATAACAGGGAGAACCGTCGGCGGATCGCGCTGGTATATCCGAAGGTCGTCGTATTCGATTGCTCGCGTCGTTGCGACCGTATCCCCGGGACGAGCCAGAAGTTGGGTCCACTCGGCAACCAGATTGTTTGCCCATGCACGCAGTGACGCCTTTACTACTGAATGTCGCAAGGGAAGGAGCGTGGAGAGATCGCCACGGAAGTTGATGACGACCGATATGCAGCTGACACCTGGCACCGCTCGCTGATGAACTGCCACCGCTTCGGCCAGTTCCACTGCGTTGGGCCGACCTTCGATTCTGAACACCGCCGCTGCATACACGCCCTCCGTGCAGAAGAAGTGCGCAAGCCGCCGAAGGTCTGGACTGAGGCAGGGATGATAGACCTGCCGGATCGTCAATCGATCACGGGGCGCAAGTGCTGCTTCGCTGAGGGCTCTCTCCTCCAGAAAACTCATGGCGATGGCGATGGTGACAGGGAGACAGAGGGGGAGCGAGAGGAAGAGGGGGATGCCGGAGAGGCAGAGTCGTCGTCCTCGGCTTCCTCAGAGAGAGAAAAAGAGGGAGAAGGAGTCGAAGCAGAGGGGAGGAGGCGAAGATAGGACACGTGGCGTATGATCGGTCGGGCCGATCGGTTGCCGGAGACCTCGGGCGCAAGTCGCACAGTGTTCACACTGTTCGGTCCGAGTTCGATCACGCAAAATCGCCCGAAGAACCGTGGCGCTAGCTTACCCTGGCGAGCACATTTCCTCACCTGCACGATGTTCCCTAATTTGTATTGGGGCCGTGGACCTGCATTCCCATTCCGGGCCTCGTAACTTCGGACCTGTCGGCCTTGGGCTAGTTCGATCATTTTCTGTCGTTTTCGGGCTAGCTTGGGCAGTGACCGTTCCATTAGCTCTAGGTGCCATTTGGCCTTGTCTCTAGCCGTGGCCCTGGTGGGCCGTCGGTTCAATGTAGACTCGTCGGGGAGGCTCGGTACTGAAACGCAAGCGACGCTATTGGTCCTTAATTGGAAGGGGCTTAGCCCCGTCGATTCGTGGGGCGTTCCGCGATGGACCGCCAAGATAAGATCGACGATATTGGGCCAGGGCCTCGGATCCCGTGCCGCGATGTTTCCTCGCAATGCTGTCTTTATCACCCGATTAGCGTTTTCGACCAGCCCATTGGATTGTGACATGTGGGGTGCAGTGTTCCGCATGGCGACGCCATGTATGACCAGATTCTTAAACACTTCTCCCCTGAATCCAGCCCTGTTGTCGGTCAGGATCTCTTCCGTATCTTGATGCATCCCGAGGAAACGGTTGACATATCGCGCGATTTCTGTGGCTTGCCGCGTGCGACAAGGATCCGCGTCGATCCATTTCGAGAAATGGTCGACAAATACCAATAAGACTGAATACTCGCAACTATTAGGGTTAGGGGGCACCACTATGTCAGTAGTGTCCATGCTCAACTGTGGGCACTATCGATCTTGGCGGCTGAATCGGCGCTTTATCAGCGGCGAAGACTTGACAGTTGGCGACGATGTACTTCACATCGTCGCGGATATTGGACCAATACCACTCATTTTTGTCGATTGCGGACTCCGTGATTCGTACAGCAAAATGGGCCGCAGTTTTCTCGTGAGCTGTCTTAACCCAGTCATACCGCATGAACGGATGCGGCACTATCATCCAAATCCCACTGCCATCCGTTTTCGGTTTTTCCAATCTACCCTCTATCCATCGATAATCCCGAGCCCTTTCGTTGGCCCTCCTTCGGTCTTCCTTGGTGAAATCCTAGAGGGGGTTACCTACGAGGGTGGCAATTAAGGCAATATTCGTCCATACTTCGGCCCTTCTAAACTTTCGGGTCTTTTTCAATCCTTCTGACGTGGCGTCCAAAAATCGAGCCTCGTTCGGAATCTTGTCGGTCCGGCACAAGGGGCATAACCATGGTTTACTGTCGTTTCTGTACTGGATGCACGGGCCATGGGCTCATGCGACACACTGTCGACAATCTATCCAGTCCGCATACCCTTCCCCGTTAGGACGCATGGAGACCGAATATACGCGGGAAATAGCTTCGCAAAAATAGCAAAATTTGTCAGGCAGGGAATGGAGAGACGAAGAGGAAGGGGGAGAGAGCGGAGTGGTGAGGTTACCTCCATCACCCATCGCCACCGTTTTGCTTCTTGCCACGTGGAAGAACTGTCACCTGTCCGTACTTAGGCTCGTTGGTCAAGTCCGGCTCTTTCCACGGTGTAATTTCCTCGCCCTTTGGCACCTTGGCAGGTCGATGCAGACGTGTCAGCCCGTCCGCGTTGCCGTGTTGCTCTGTCTTTCGATGGACGATATCGAAGTTGTATTTTTGTAGTCGTACCGCCCAACGGCCAATCATGCCCGTGCAGTTGGTGAGTTTGTTCAGTGCCAACAGAGGCTCGTGGTCCATTACGAGGCGAAACTTCTGTCCGTAGAGATACGGATGGAAGTGTTGGATTCCCCAAACTACCGCGTGACACTCACCCTAAGGTGCGGAGTCGTTCCTTCGTTCGTCCGACACGGTTCGTGACGCGTACTCGATGACGTGTTCGTGACCATCGTTCCCCTTCTGCGCTAGAATAGCGGAAATAGCCTCCGGTTGTCAGTCCATGATGAGAATGAACTGCTTCGAAGGGTCTGGTCGAATCAAAATAGGGGTTGTTGCCCAAGTGTCCTTGAGGGTTGCAAAGGCCTGTTGGCACTCCGCGTCCCAGTTGAGAGGCTGGTCCTTTCGTAAGAGATTCGTTAGTGATCGTGTAATCGCGGCAAAGCCCTTAATGAAGCGTCGGTAGTACGACGCCAGCCCCAAGAAGGGTCGAACCTGAGTCAGTGACGTGGGAGCCGGGGCTTCCTTCACCGCCGCAACTTTTCTCGAATCCGGCCGCAATCCTCCACGTGTCACGACGTAGCCCAAGAACGAAATTTCCGAGAGGAAAAATTCGCTCTTCTCAAGCGTAATCTTGAACCTAGCGTCTCTCAATGCGCCCAATGTCCATTCGATGTGTTGCACGTGCCCGTGATAGGTTTCCGAATAGACCAGGATGTCGTCCATGTACACGATCACGCAGAAGTTAATCATTCCTTGTGACAGCCGTGTCTTGCCAACGAAGTTCTGGAACGTCATGTTCATCGCTCGCTGAAACGTGGCAGGCGCATTGCAAATCCCCATTGGACACCGAACCTACTGCCACGTACCCTCAAACAGCACAAAGGTCATTTTCGGCCGATCTTCTTCCCTTACCAGAATATGATGGAAGCCATGCTGAATATCAAACTTGCTGAAATAATTAGCGCACCCAATCGCATCCAACAAATCATCAATCCGAGGGAGAGGATACACATCTTTGATCGTAATTTCATTCAGCTTGCGATAATCAATGCAAATGCGAATCGCTCCGTTTTTCTTTGGTACTAACACTACGGGAAAGGACCAAGGTCCAGTAACGGGTTCAATCCAACCGTTGGCTTCGAATTCCCAAATTCGTTCGAGAGTCTTTTTGCGTTTTATCAAGGAATAGCGATAAGGTTTGCAATGAATCGGGGAGTGATTTCCAGTTTGAATTTCATGTTGGATTACTAACGACAACCCAATGTTAGTGTCCGACACACTAATCGCTCCTGGATATTCCGTTAGAATATCTGCAATTACCTGGTGGATTTCATCCGGCACATATTGTGGAACGTGCAGTTCAAAAAGTTGGTCCCATATCCGAACGTCAATCTGTTTCGTGTTCGCCCGTTTTGTCAAGTCGGGTGGAGGCACCGAGATGAATGAATGGTCCGATCGCCAGGAGAACACCGTGGCCATCATCTGGGCATCTTCATCCTGGATGGCCACGTGTCCTTCCGGGGTAATCTCGTCGCAAACATCCTGCCATGGCACTTCTTTTGTTGCAATCTTTATCCCCAATCCGTTTGTTTCTGCTTCGAAACGCCCAGGGGGTTCCAGATAGCTTGCTTCCGCCCCCAAGCGTAACAATCTCACTTCTTTAGCCGATGTTAGTAGGGACTTTGGTAGATCCGTAATATCACAGTAGTGCTTCTTGTTGCTGTACCGGGCGAGGAGAGGGGTAATTCCTTCGTACAGAGTTTGAGGGGGTTCCAAAGAATCGATCATCCTCGAGATCTGCACGAGGGGCTCACCCAGGATCATCGCCTTGGTCCTCTAAATTTTTCGGCTGGTCAGTTGCATCGTTCTCGCTATCGTTTTCGGGGGCGGGTAGTAAATGCGCTATCGTACTAATTTCAAGATCTTCGGATCATCTTCGTCACTGATGTCCGCATCATTCGTCGAAGATCTTCCATCGGCGGATCTATCCCAGGAGATCATGCGAAGGGTTTCGGCCAACATTGGCGAGACTCGGGGGACCGCATTGGTGGTTGTGCGAAGGGTTAATTGCATAGGCACAGCGTATGGTTTTCCTCTTGTATTACGGAGGATGATCGATCTTCGTTCAAAGTCCAAGTTTGCTCGGAAAGCCATAAGAGCAGGAAGTCCGAAAAGAACGTCGTAGGTATTCACATCCAATACGACAACATCTCCCAGTGCATGCACTTTTTCCAATCGGAACGCAACATTGGTCATTCTCCCCACCGTTTTAATATTTTCTTCATCTGCCGAGACGAGCTGATCTTTTTCAGAAAGCATGATCAGACCATTCTTCCTACCGGCCCTTTCAACTACCTTTAACGAAATTGCCAAAACAGCTGCCCCGGAATCAATAATCGCATTATACGGACTTCCCCAAATTTCAATATCGCATTCTAACGATTTCCACGGGATAGGTTTAATCCGCAAGAAATGGTCGTCTTTCTGGATTAATCCTACCCGTATTGGGTCGGAAGTACTTGTCGGGTTTTCTTCGGATGTAGGACCTTTGGCTTTTGTGTTCGGTGTTCGTGCTAGAGCGAATCGTTTCCGATTCGCTTTGCAGTGCTGTAACATTCGCTCGTTCGCTTGCTCAGAAATCGAGAGTAGATGACCGATTGGGAGTGAGATTCGATGATCCAGAGCTCGAATGATGTTTAATACGCCGATTTCTCTTGTGACGAAGGTGGGTCCTCCTGACTCCATTTCCCCTAGAGAAGGTCGCCACTCTGCCACTTCCCTCTGCTCTGGAACCGGTATGATTGTTCCGATCATTCCTAGCCGCGGATACCCAAAAGACACGTATTGATCTAACGGGATGAGCTCAGCGGCATCTTTCGTGGTAGCCAGCGTACTTACCCCGCCTTCTACTTCCTCCATTAATGCTCCAACTCGTCCTGGTCCATTAGCGATAGGGGCCGCTGCCATTGGTGCGACCCCAATCCGTGGTTGCGGGGGTCGGTTGGGGCAATCACAGGCTAGGTGTCCTAGCTGATGACAGGCTTAACAGACATTCAGATTGGTTGCGGCTCCTCCGAGAGCGGGGGCCGAGGCCAGTCCTTGCTGAATTGGAGGGGCGCGCACCGCGATGGGTCGCATGTTTCTCATCATAGCTTCCAGCCGAGCGTTATGCTCTCGTTGCTCATTTTTTCTTTCTTGGATTAGGCTAACTAGTGTTTTGGTCAGCTCAAGGATCGCAGTGGACTCACTTGTTCTTATCGGGTTTTCAACCGGCGGCGGTGTCGGTGCGAATACCCTTACAAGGGTATCCGCCCTGGGTTTTTGTAATTAACAGAAAATTGTTTGGTTTAAAGTTTAAGTATACCGCGCTAAGTGCGACTGCGTTTATAATTGTGTTGACTGGGTGGTTGACCACAATAGCGAGTGCGTGGACGCGCAGGTTTAAGGCGCGTGTGATTCTTTTCTGTTGTTGATCGTAAAGTCGGCCCGGACCTCGGTCGTTTTGCTTAGTGATATTATTATTTATTTATTTTTGATTAAGCAGGAATTAAGGATATTTTCTTTTTGGTACATTTGGCCAAGTCAAGCGCGCGTGTGGAGAACGACCCCGACGACGGCGCGACTTCGTGCGGTGAACGGGGAGTGTAGGATGGCGCGCGGGGCAATTATGGCATGGTATAAGCAAGCCGGCGCGGACACTGGGAGCCGCGCAGCCGGTTTATGGGCCCAAAAGCACCGCGCCGCACCGCCTTGTATGGTACTCTGCGGGCGCTGGTCTTAGACTTGGGCTTAGCCCTATAGGTTACAACATTGGGCTGACACTATGAAGGTTCGGGGATCGACACCGGCAAGCGCCAGCGGAGCATCGAGGAAGGAGCGGATGGGGTTGAGGGCCGTGGGGCTATCCCCTTTTGGTTTTGTCGATGGCGGCGTCCGGTTAGTGGTGGCGTTTTCTAAATAATTTTATTCTAGCGTCGTATTTTTTATACCCCGGCGGGCCGTTGACTTGGGCGAGACGCCGGATCTAATGGTCGTCACGGCAGTCAAGGATCTTGAGCACGTACCCCGTTTGACGAGGCCGCATGTTTGGGGTGCTGGTAAAAGTCCTCCCTTACGCTGTGGCTGAAAAACCACGACGCGGTAAGGGTTGAGTTTGTAATTGCACTTGAGGTGAAAGGGTCGGTAATGTTGAATATATACGCCCTACGCTTCGGGTTCGATGAGGTCGCGGGGGGGGTGCGTGTTGTATTCACAGGGTTGCTTGAAGGGCGCCTACAACCTGGTTTCGTAACTGCGCCGGAGTTACCCCCTTCGTAGCATAACAGGGAGCCCCGTAGCAGCCACATTCGTGCTCGGGCCACCAAAAGGGAAAACTGAAGGAAAACGCAACCACAGGTGGGGGCGCTACCTACCACACGCAGGTGGGCCATGCAGGCCATGGGTCGGCAGGGAGGCTCAGGACTGAGCCTTCTCGATGGGCCAGTCATTATGCCTCGCCTCCGATCCAGCAAGAGGGCGGAGTAGCCAAGGGTGCGTGTGAATCGGGACGGGAGGCAGCGCGAGGTGCAGGCCGGGTGCATTGCAACGGGCAGTGGAGGCGGGGAAGGCGTTGGTATAAGGGCGAAAGACGAATTGAACCGTTTGTTTTCCCTGGAGTTCCCCTTGAGACAGTCGGTACTGCTCTGAACGCTACCCGGGTTGTCTGTGGGATCGACCATTGCCAACGAACTACGATAGCGGSGAGGGCAGAWTGACACAGCRGGGCGACCATGCTAGGGCGGAGACARCGGGAGAGAGGCTCGGGCGGAGTACTGGGTGGACCGMTGCATCGAGCGCCGGAGCGTGCATAGGAAAGCACGGCGGGCGCTAGCACAGCGGAGGGGTGGATACAGCGGCGAATGCAGACAGGGGCGGAAGGTGAAGGCAGCAGCGCGGTGAGAATGGAATGAATTTGACCTAGAATCGCGTCTGGGTGCGTTCAGAGGCCAAGGCAAGGAGTGAAGAAACGAGATTTCACTCGATTCCTGATGGAATCGAGTGAAAGAAGAGGGTAGATTACCATTTTGAAGCTGGGCGAAATCAACTATATAGTTAGTTTTTGAAGAAAATCAGTAGAAAGGAAGATTAGCAGGAAGATGCCGCGAGGAGATGGTCGGGAGTAGGAAAGGAAGAAGGTGGGAAAACGCATATCAGGTGCGTCTCCGAGCGGATTTCGACAGAGTAAAAGTCAAAATTATGGTTTCAGGGCAGGGCGAATTCAATAGGGATGTTAGTTTTGGATGAAAGTTAGTGTAGTTTGAGTTTGTAGTTAGGAGGCTTGCGCGGAGCTGCTAAACCAAAGGCTATGGCGGGAAGAAAAAGCTCGGCATCCCGCCCGATTCTTCAGGTAATCGGGCGAAGCAAGGTACTAACTCGTGTTTTTTTACCAGCGCGGGGCGGATCGCGGTGGTAAAACTCGGCTTGGGGAAGCCATTCGGACGGAACGGGATACGACTGCTGCGCCTGGGAGTAAAAAGTAGTAAAACGTAATGGCACCTAGTTGGCTTGTAGCGGTAGATTCATTCGATTTTGCTCATTTTCTGCAATGAAACTGACGTGAATAGGTGCGCGGATTGGAAGACCTACCTGTGTACCAGTGCGCTTCTCATCTATGAATGGAAGTAGTATCTCCCAATCTCCCGGCGCGCGCGACTCGACAGTAGTGTATATTTCCGTGTTCTTGCGGTATGTTCATTCAAAGTCTCGCTCATCGTATTGAGCGAATTAGCGCAGCGGAAGGCCGGCGGGTCGTTGAAAACTTACTGGTGAACCAATGCGTCACCCAGTCTACTGATAGAAGTAGCTCTTCCCTGACCCCCTGCGCGAGTGGTTGAATCACAGTGTATATGACCACGTTTTAGCGGTAGGTTCATTCTAAWTTTTGCTCACCTCACTGAGGGAAGTGGCGTGGGGCCAACTTCGAGGYTAGWGACTTGCCTGTTGGCCTATGTGCTCGCATGGGAGAAYAGGAACAAAGAGGAGGTAGGTGAGAAGACRAGTACACTTACCTTGSTAKAGCGCATCCGTGATCACAACGAGCGTGAGTCGGCTACAGGGCTTACGCTGTAGGAGCGCAGACTGAGAAGRGGAAGAAGTCAAAYGAATTTGGGTWACTTACCTGGTCGGAGCGCGTCTATGTTGTGAGGGCATGCGCCTGCCACGAGATAAGGTGCTAAGCTGCAGGGAAAAATAGGGGAGGGGCGGTCCTATGACCCAGCGAACGGACTGAGCAGGTGCGGCAGGCCGTATGAGGCGGGACGAGGCTGTTTTTGAGTTGTGAATCAACCCACCGCTCGATTGCTGGGCTCTTACAGCGGTGAACTGTACATCCAGCTACAAGTCTTACCATCGAGCTTGCGGCATCACTGCTGAGTACTACTGTCTCGATAGTTGGGTATGCTGGGACTGCGACTCTTTGAAAGAGTTGYCGGTACGGTACTATTGTTGYCCTCGGCWACGTACTRTTCTATTGGTAGAGGCTGCAGTTGTTTCTCCTGCTAGCTACTGCGAGCATGTTGYTGTGGAYTGGGTATAGMTGCATACTGTTGCTATTTTCSRCTGTGCACAGCCGCGGRCTGCTGAGTGACTGTGCATGAACTACTAATGAGAATTATTGTTGGCGGTGCACAGACTGAGGCTSCATATTGYTGCTGTTAGCTGCATACTACGACTGTTGCTGTAGATCACCACTGTGTGCTGTTGCRGCGCTTATGGATTGGGACAGGGGGTTGGATTCGGCGGTTGACTTCAGCAGTTTGACTTCTGTTTTGACCGAGCTGTTACAGGTCGGCCATCATTGCGGGGCCCTCAGGCGAATCAAGGTTTCAAGA